TAGTGAGGGTGTGAGGGGAGAATGGGATGTTTAGGGCATGGCAAGGAGAAGTTTTCTTGCAAGCAGGTTGTGCAATCCAGAGCCTCAACTGCTGTATTCAGAACAGTTTTTCTTTAGGGAAAGGGAACCAGCACTAACTCTCCCTGAGGCTGGAAATCTCCAAGCCAAAACTAGCTAGCAAGCAGAGGTGATCAGATGAACAGAAAGGATTTGGTAAGCCATTTGCCATCAACAGGACATCTTCAGAGAGAAGGGAAAGGCGACCAAGCAGCTTCAGGGCTCCATCCTTGTACAGCCTGCGACCTGACAAGAAAATGGAAAGAAATGTCAGCCAGAGACTGGTACTGTAAATTAACTCTACACACTCAGAGGGATACTTGTCAATCCTTTCCTATTCTTTCCCCGACAGCCTGCACAAACACTGCATGCACCTTCGAGCCTAGATGTGAAAGCAGTGAACATCCTACAATACTGCTGTTCATGGTTTCATGTACTTGCAGGCACAGAAAGCAAGAATATACTAAATTCAGGAGGTGGTTGTTTACACGAGAAGTTCCTTTTGTGGTACTGTGTCCTAGCAATAGCTTCAGATTCTCCCACAAGGAGGAATTCATCTCTTCATTCCCAACCTGTTCCCCAAACTTGATCCTGACGTGACCCAAATCAGCTCAGAGACAGTTCCTGGATGCGTTTATATACAGCCTTTCATCAACATTACTCCTGTTTCAGGTAGCAGAGAGGAGGTGCCATTGTAAGGCAACCAGAGTCACCACCTTCCAAGGCCAGCATGTGGTCTCAGACAGACCAAAAGTCCAAACCTTGAACTTAGGACCCAGCACTGTCTGTTATCAGGAGCACAAGTAAGATACTTCTACAGAAGAAAAGAATCCATTCTGTTCCACCTTAGGTTCTACATGAACCTAAGCAACTTCATTTTTTTCAACAGCAAAGATAAACAGTGTCTTATGATACATGAGCAAATGTTGCTTCCACCTTGTACATCATTTCAAAGACACACCCTGTAGATGCACCCCAGCTTAACAAAATGCACTACCCATCTGCCATGGTCAGTCAGGGTAAGCCCAGCACTGCCACACTCACCCCCTCTGTTCTCCACAGGTTCTGCTGAGTAGAAAATGTAATCAACAGTAGCTCCAAGCCCCATGGGCATCGTTGTGACCTCCGGGCGTCCCCTCTGTGGCAGGAAGTGGCTGTAGACAGAGGTCAGGTTGAGGCCGTGCTGGATAATGCCTGAACACCTGCACACAAACAGCCACCATTTACCAAGGAAGGAAAGAGAATGATGCCTTTTCGGTACTGCAGTGACAGCTGAATGTTCCCTTGCTGATGCAACTGTCCAAACTCTTTCTACTTTGTGAACACATAAAAGAGAGTCTTTCCAAACTATTCACTCCACTTACACCAAAGCAAAGCAGACAATGAACTTCCTTTGTCTTCAATACCCAGTCCTGTCTATGCCCTTCATTCTCGACCTCACCAACACAATGCTGACAGAGCAGCACCAGCTGCTGGGACAACCCTGTGTGGATCTGGCTATTCCGGACAGCCTTCCTTACTCTTCCACTCTCACATTTATTTCAGTCTTTACTTCAGCCAGACTTTCAGTGCTCAGGAAAGTAAGACCGAGTTTGAAGAGTGGGGACATTGAAGGTGCACCAAATTACCTTGGGATGAATGGCTGGGGACCAGGGTCCTTCACAGTGGCAGCAGGCAGGGGCCAATCTGCAGGGCGGTCTGCAAAGGAGCAAGGACATTCTGGCCTGACCTACACAGATCCCAGAACAGGTTGCTCATCCCAAGTCTGAGAAGCTTCTCCTGAGATCAAATGAATCTTTTTGCCTGAGAAGAGCAGATAGCTTCCAGTCACAGGCATCTTAAAGAAAAATATCCAAAGGAAACATCAGCTCTAAGACTAACAGGAACATCCTTTGAGCAGAACAGTGCAAACAACAGAGAAGTCATATTCTGTCCTGCTAAGGATATGTCCTTAAAGCATTTAATATTATCAAAGTTAAAGGTACTTCACCCTTTGCTCTCAGTGAAAGTTCACTTGCCTTAGACTACGGCTTACTCAAAGGGTGTCTAGAAAGGCAAAACAGAAAAGGAGAAAGCAGAACCAGCCATGCCAAAAGGCCCAGAAGTGAGGCAGTGTCTACTGGGTACCAGCATCCAGAGATATTTATATTGTGGCCATTGTGACATTACAATATCAAGGTTTGCTCTCCCCACCACCAAAAATCTGGAAAAAAAGAAATATATACCTTTCTGCCTTCCTCTTTCCTCACCAGGCATTACCTCCACCTCATGTTTTCTTTGAAATTACAGAATCATAGAATTACAGAATGGCCTGGATTGGAAGGCACCTTAAAGATCATCTAGATCCATCCCCTCGTCCCATGGGCAAAGATGCCACCCACTATATCAGGTTGTCCAGGGCCCCATCCAACCTGGCCCTGAACACTTCCAGCGATGGGGCATCCACAGCTTCTCTGGGCAACCTGGTCCAGTGCTTCACTACCCTCTAAGTCAAGAATTTTAAGAAGTTCAAGACCATTTTCCCTTGTCCTATCACTATATGCCTATGAAAAAAGTCACTCTTCCTCTTTTTTTTTTTAAGACTCCTTTAGTACTGGAAGGCCACAATGAGGCCTCAATGGAGCTTTCTCTTCTCCAGTCTAAACAGCCCCAACTCTCTCAGTCTGTCTTCATGTGAGACATGCTCCATTCATTGGGAGACTCACAAGCTGAAAAGTCTCCCATTAATACCTGGTTTAGCATCTGTCACTCCTTCCAAAAGGACCAGCTCTGGTGGTCGTTCACAGGCAATATCGCAAAAACGAAACTGGAGCAGGAAGTCACGGCTGTATTCACGTCTCCCTGCAGGGAAAAGTACAAGTTAAAAGAAAATAAGTGCAGCAAAGTCACATCTACAGGGAACACCTGCATATGTTTTAGACCTTTGAGCCTCTTAGACCTCTTTTGTTTGAGAGAGGCTTTTGTACCCAAGCACTCTCATACCATGAGAATGGGAATCACTCAATAACCTAAATAGAGAATAAACATGTAAGTGTAGAAGAACAGAGCACAGTTGCTACTATTCCTTTAGCTAATGCAACAGTCATGGTCAGCATAAATCAAGAATGTCCCCTCTGAGACACCACAAGTTCAAGGGACTTTCAAGCAGATCAGTTAGTGTGCAAGTCAAGGGGGATCAGGGTCTTTCACTATGGCAGTAGGCCAGGGCCAGTTTGCAGGGCAGTCTGCAAGGGAGCAAAGATATTCCAGCCTGACCTATACCGATCCCAGAACAGGCCATTCATCCCAAGTCTAAGAAGCTTCTCCTGAGACCAAATGAAGGAAAAAGAACTCAAATTATGGAGATGGTGTTGAATACAAGTTCTACATTCAAGATTTTATCAAAAGCTATTTTGCTCCTTCTTATTCTGAATCCTCTCTAAGGATGGTAGAAAAGAGACATGATTGTAACTGGGCTCTTAGGAATGATTTCTTTACAGTGGTGTGCAAACACTTTCCAAAACTGCTCCCACAAACACGTGCAGATGAAAGCTGTGGCTGCTGAACATGCTTTACAACTGCACTAAAGCCTAAGTCTGGGAATATGAAAGAGATATGTAGAGCAATTGCAAC